GGCGGGTTGGGGGTTGTTGTTTTTTGTTTGTTTGTTTGTTTGTTTGTTTTTTTTTCTGTTGTAGCATTTATAGAGTAAATACGTATGATAAGAAAATAAAGTAGAAACAGGGCACTTCCAATGCCACACGTTGTCACGAGGTGACAAACACCAATCGAGGAATAATGATTGACTAATAGACACGGAATTTCACCGTCCATTACACGCTGTCTGGCGTCTTGGCATCAAAGAACAGCAATACAAAGCATATAAAAGTGGGGGCCAAAAGAAACCTGTCGTCATGGCAACCAAAGATGTTACCGACTTACGTATGTATGTGAGGAAACGAAAAGGAAAGCGTTAAAACAAAAATGATTTTAAAATTCTTTATTTTGTTTCATTTATTTCATTTATTTCATTTATTATTTATTTATTTTGGTTTTAAAGTTCGTATGTCCCGATGCTTAAAATTATTTCTCTTTACCTACGTAATAATCTTTTGAAGATTTAAACAGTCTCAAATTTTCTAGACCATAAGCACAATCATTTGAAATTGTAAAAGTTGAAGATGGTTAAGTTAATAATTCTTGGCCCGTGGCAGACAGACACATGAGAAATACCACCATGTGATTGCTGTAATTTCAAACCTTGCTGTGACAAAATTTCAGCGCGTCTGGTAAACATATAAAATGTTCACATAAAAACTGCATCCCCACGAATACATGTATATTTGAGGAGCAAAAAAAGACATTGAAAGATTTTTTTAAGTTAAGACTGCTTCACGGAAGTACCGCATATCAAGGCCTGAAAATCTGAAACTTGAACCAAGATTCTTTATGATGATGGAAGCCGGAACTTTTACTACTACTGTATAATATTTCATTTTCTACCTTGTAACAATATGATATCGCAGGAAGGAACTTATCACAACTTTTCTTATTCTTACAAATACAAATAAACAAACTACTTAACCATGAAATATTTACTTGATCCATATGGTAACGTACAACTTTATATGTTAAGTTCAGAACATTATTGCTACTGCTGTTACGCTTATTTTTGTTGTTGATCTATACGCATTGATGTTTATAGTTGTGGGGGCTATGGTGGTATTGTTTTTGCCCTCTCCTTTTTATTGTTTTTTATATCTGCCCACCACCCTATATACACAAAAGTCTGTTTGAAGCCTGTGCATTTCGTCCATAAGTTAGTGTAGTCATGGCTGCACTTGCAAAATATATTACCCCGAAAAGATGCAATGTACAGGTTCGAAGGTTCAAAGCTTAGCCCGTCCCAACGTGCCCGTGGAAAAGGCTCTTTACACGAATGTTCCCAATTGTCTCGATCCTTTTTGAGACATTCGTTAAACTCGGAAGTCAGGCCTCAAAAATAACCATACAGTGTTGCGTTAAACTGAAACAATTTCGCCCACTTTTTCAGATGCAATAATATAGAAGGTTTAAAAAAAAAGTAAACTAAAGACAAAAACCTACGCCATTTCTGAGGCGTCGGTAGTCTAGTGGCTACGCTACCGGATTCGTAATCGCGAGGTTGCCGCCTTGGTGCGTGTGTGAAATGACGCTAACTAGTTCTATATTATTTCACTAAACCGTGTTTCCCCATTTAGAAGGTTGTACCGCCTGTTGGAAAGTAGTAAACCTCTTTGGAGAGTACAAGGGAGAAATAACACAAGTTCCACCTTTCAAATTTTGCCTTCATCTACTTTGATCTATTATTCGACTTGTTCAATTTTTCCTCAATATCATTTTTATCAGAAACGGCTGCGCCCACTTACTTGCGATAAATTCATAATATAATAGTCGTACTTGGAAAGAACGGCATTATTTCTCAACATTTTTCTTATTATTTGAGCCATTATTCTCCAAAGGTCTGTATTTTTTTACCGCCGGTTAACATGCTGGGAAGAACAACGCTTAGACAAAGTACGCTGTACGCTCTCCGAAATAAGTAACAAATCAATCACGGTTTCAGTTTCAAGCTTAGTAAAATCTCCACTCACAGTTGGTGGTACTTCCACTGTTATTTTCAGACACCTTGAAAGGACAAGGGACATATATAGTTCGCTGACCGACTAACAGGGAGTGCAGCCGCCCTCCACCCCCCCTTCCCAAGACCCCCTTTTCTAAAAAAAAGAAGAGTATTGTACGTGCACGCCATAACATCCCTAGAGTACTCACAACGTCTTCTCTCTAGATTTCTTTCACCTCACCAGCGGGTGTACTCTAATGGTGAGGTTCTTTTCCGTAGCACGCAAAGGACAAGAGTTCAACTCCCACGTGGGGCAGTCTATTTTATCGACTACATATCCCTACTTCTGCTGAGACTTTTTTGTACCACTCACGTTGAATTGCCTCTGACAGGCAGGATTGCAGCAGACCGCCTTTTTATTGATGTAAATTGTATCGAAAGGAGAGAAAACAATAAAATTCAATAAATCGTTCGCGCCGATATTTCTTCTTGAAGCCCAGTCTGACCAATAAAACATAGCGTCGGTGTCACAGCCAATCCACTGAAGTCCATTTTTGGTTCCTTTTTACACCAGAGACAAACAAAAACTAGGTTTTGTTCGGTTGTCCCTATCATGAATCATGAAAAGAAAGAAAATTTCAAGCCTAGACCATAATATTGACCTGAATTTGGGTGGTTAAAAAGTACATCTGTGTTGGAGACAGACAGAAACAGAGAGAGAGAAAGAGAGAGAGAGAGAGAGAGAGAGAGAGAGAGAGAGAGAGAGAGAC